CTTCATCTCTAGAGCTCTCTCAACCCATCTATTATGGCCGATTTGGAAAACATAATACATATCACGACATTTATCCTTTATCATATTTTGGAGGTAGATAATGAAGTCCTTGAACTCCATGTTTTGTGAGTCTACCCTCGTAATAAAAGTCTTTTGAGGTGAGAAGTAAATGAAAGGCTTAAGAACAAAAGTACCTTTGTGGTAAAAATATACACTAAGGGTACTTTCTGATGAGAACAACATTGTAGCTATAAAACTTGATGTCACAAAGGCTGGTGAGGAATCGATGTCACCAAGGCTATGGAAATTGATTTCACATAGGGTTACTCGATCGAATGTAAAAACGAAACCTATAGATGTTATGTGCTTCACTCCCTCCCAATAAACGATTTTGAGAAACTGAGATTTCTCTTCCCCTTAATCCACGTAAGAATAAAAAATATGTCATATCATTTCTTAATTTACGTTAATTAATTTATCTAGTCTTTTTTTTCATTTAACTAGCAAATTCTGGTTGCCATCGGGTGAGATTTGAACAAAAGGTAATCTTTGTTGGTGTTTTTTGTACAAAGAGCTTAATTGCATGGTGTTTTTTGAATAGGCAAAACTTCGATGGTTTTTTTGAACATCTTTGAAACTTTTTTACCCTTATAAGTCAGTTTCCATATTTTTACAGAACACGCCTTATGCTCTTTTCAAAGAACATACTACTTTTTCCACATATTATAGTATTTTATTTATTTTTTTATTATAGAATAAATGATAGGAGATTTTAGTTATCTAGTTTCAAAAGTTCAACGTCATGTAGGGGCTTAGCTGGCCTCCCTCCATGTCGTTGAGTTGTTTCAAACAAAGTTATGTCCTAACAGTCCTGGAAACATGTGGAGGCATCGACGTAAGGAAACACATCCTTCTCTGTTTCTTCCACTATTCGTTCCCTTTATTTTCTTCTTTATTGTCCTCACGATGGTGTGTTTCATAGACGAACACTGTCCCCTCTTGGAGTGGTATAGAGAAGAGAGACATTAATGTTGACGTGGAAGCGTGGTAGGTGGGTACCATACCCACTAGCTTATGTTGTGAATTTATTTTGTCAAACTTGAAAGTCTAATCATCTTCAACTTTTAATTGTTTATAATATTTCACTATAAATAAAGTGAGAAAAATGATTTAGGATAATTTTCTCAAAGATCACAACAATCATCCCAATAAATATAATAGAGAAAAATAACAAGACACAGGAATATACGTGGAAACTCCAAAATCGAGAAAAAAAACATGGGCCTCCAGAGAGAAAGATCAATTGTATGATAAATTATTACAATCACATAGACTAATCTCTCAAGCCTCCCCAAAAACAACTACATTCTCCCAAAGTGTCAACTAACAATTTCTACACTGTAAAAGAAGATAAGAAAGAAAGAACCAAACACTTCAAGTGTATTTTGGTGGGTGCACTGAAACCAAAGCCTTGGACTCCTTTTATACGCTTGGATCCCACCTACAGTTTCATCCTTGTAGAAATGTAGGACGGGAAGCCTTTCTTTCATATAGCGAAAAACTCAACAAATCTTAACCTAGGATAAATGAAAGAAAACTGCAACCACACAAAAAGGAACACATCTTCAACCGACAATCATAACTCCAAAAACATAGAATTATCATACTACACCATGAAAGAGTATCTCCACTTAGAATAAACCATTCTAAGAAATTCACCTCGGTGTATGGTTCAGTTTCCTGTTTAGCATACCCGGAAGTTCACCGGCCATCATCATCAATGTCACCACACATCTTGCATTCATGTCAATTTGATGCCCATGTGTAAATCGTGAACCCATTAATAAAACTACATCCCTTTTCATGGTAGTATGGACATACCATCGGGATAACATGTCTTTAAAGAAAGTCATCATTGTCAGTAACGATCGAGACAACTTTATTCGAGCCTTTTGTCGAACCTCATGGGATTGTATTTTGACAATGTATATGTATCCCCAAAAATAGTATTATATACTAAAAAAAACATACACCTAAAAAAGGATTCCCAAGAAAGAGAGGTGGGTCACAATGGACACACTAAAGTACCAAGTCTTTCCTGGCCAAAAACCTTTGATATGTGCAAAAAGTACCCTTCAACTTTTAAATTTATAACCTAACTAACTTAACTAATTTATGCACGTATAGACACTGTACCTAGTCGGATTCTAGAATAGCTTAGGTAAGTTTGGTGTCGAACGCAGGGACCGATATTTAATTAATAAAATAACTAATTCTAATTAAACTAAGAGAACAAACTTAAATTGGGTTCTTTACTGATTTTTCAAGAAAATAAGAACTTGAATATAGGGATGTCAAAAACTTTTGTGGGACCCCGCTCCCGTTGGTCCCTGATTCTGTACGGGATTAGTTTTTTTTTTTAAAGTTGGAGGTGGGGGCGGGGGCGGGGGCGGGGCGGGAGTAGGACTAAACCCCGTTTTATTTTCGGGAACGGTGGCGGGGGTGGGTATTTCCGTCCCGTACTCCTGCGGGGGGGGGGGGGGGGGGGGGGGGCATTTGTATATATTTATATAAAATATATATATTTATTATAAAAATATATATAGACAATAACAATACATTATCTAATTTTAGGGTTTCTTATCTTTCTTCCACTTAACAACATACAACGATACAATATGAATTTGTCATATATTTTTGGACATGTCATACTTTTCTTTGTAATGTTTGATTTGTCGTATTTAATATTTGTAAGTTTGTTGGATTTTTCGTTTTGTAATGTTGGGTTTTTAACTTTTTAGTTGTTAAAAAACTATATATAAGCTTTTAAAGTTATGAAAAATAGCTTTTTAGCCCAAAATATAACATTTTTTAGCAAAAAAAAAACAATTTTAAGCCTATAAAACGGGGGAACGGGGGAGGGATCGGGGGTGATGAAGGTATTCGGAGGTGGGATCGGTGGATATGTAAACGGAGGATTCGGGGAGGGGCGAGGGTGGGGTGGGGGCAATAACTGATTTTGGGGGCGGGGCGGGGACAGCTATTTCTGCGCCCGCTTGGTCCCTCTGACATCCCTACTTGAATCAAACTACTATCAACTAAATGACTTTTAAAACTAAACAAGCAAGAAAACAACTTTTACTTAAAGATTTAAAGAGTACTTCTATTCGGTTCTGATTTCCCCCTCTTTTATGGTTGATTTCTAGTGGATGGATTTTATTGATAACCAATTCATTAAGTTACTAGTTATTATGATCAAATACCTAGATGTACCGATTTATGAATTACCATGCAATGATCAAGCACAGGTTAAACACAAAATCGATATAAGCACAATTGGACTATGAATTATAAATGTAATAGTTACTTTCCTATGATCAAGTTAAGCAACCAAGCACAAATTAAGATTAATTATGCTCTCTAACACAGTTAAAGTTACTAACTTTAATTACCTAATCTAAGATGTGATTAATCCTAACTCTAGCAATTTAATGATCATAAATCACTAGGTAAACAAGTTCATGCAATTAGAATGATTATATACTACACTAAACTCATATCAAGGCATTCAAAGACTAGAACTAAAACATGCTCGGGTTTTGATTATCAAACACAAGTAAAATGAACATAAACATCCATTAAATCAAAATCAACACATAAAATTTGGGTTCATCTTCACCAAACAGAGTATGTGGTAATTAGCCCATAAATAAAATAGAAACAAACACAAAATCGAAGTTAACTAGAATAGACTTGGTAAAATCTAGCAAACCGAATGATTCAATAATGATCTTCCTTCAATTATCTTCAAAGCTTGAGTCTAATTTGAAATCTTCACTTCAAAGGTTTTTCTAAGGGTTTTCAGTCGTAATCCTTAACTTAATCCTCAAGCCAACCTCTAGAATTCGACCTAATGTCCGGACATATATATATATATATATATATATATATATATATATATATATATATATATATATATATATATATATAAGGTTAGGTTCATGTGAGACGGTCTAATTTTGTGAGAACGTGAGACGCAATCCTAGCCATTAATTTGGTAGATAAAACAAAAAATATTTTTAAAATGCAAAATAATTGAAAATTTTCGAAAAAAAAATTTTCAAATATTATTTTCGGAATTTATATTTTCCAAAAGTAAAATTAAAAAAATACAAAAATAAAATAAAATAAAAAATAAAAAAATACATTTTTTTACATATTCTAGTAGAATAATAGAATATTCTACATATCTGAGAATTCTAGTATAATATTCTAACATTCAAAAAATCACATTAGAATATTTATAGTGTAATATTATATTAGAATATTTCACGTATTTTTCAAAAAAAAAAACGATAATTTATTTTTATTTTTTTTAATTTTTTTAGGTAATTAAAGTTCCGAAAATAATAATTAAATTTTTTTTTTTTGAATCTTTCCTTTTATTTTGCATTTTAAAATTATTTTTAGATTTGGTCTCACGGTCTCACAAATTTAGCATGGTCTCAAATGAACCTGAACCTATATATATATATATATATATATATATATATATATATATATATATATATATATATATATATATATATATATATATAGTTTCTTAAAATTTGGTCGCCACGCCGTGGGCATCTTTTAGATCTCGTATACGGCAAGTCGTCGAAAGCTTCTATGGCAGGACAGATGGCCACGTCGTGGCCTTTAGATCACCATGTCGTGGGTATGCAATTTTGTACGACTTCCCCAGCAACACCTTCTCTTACTATGATCAGGTCCTTGACACCACTGCCATGCTTGGTGCTGTCCCTTCAAGATACAACTAGAATGGTGGTGAGATTGGTTTCGACACTTACTTCTCCATGGCCATAGGAAATGCCTCTGTCCCTGCTGTGGAAATGACCAAGTGGTTTGACACCAACTAGTAAGTTTCATATTGCCCGCCTTAGGTTTTTGGATGTTGTCAGTTTGAGTCGTAACCAAATTCTAATACTGATTTGTTGATGAACAACCACTTCATTGTCCTAGAGTTGGGCCCGGATGTGCAGTTCTCTTATGCTTCTCACAAGGCTGTGACCGAATACAAGGAGGCTAAGGCTGTATGTGTTCTTGATATGCTCTTTCCGGATTCTTTTAAACATGATTTAGTAAACTTTTTTTGTTAATATGTTGGTTGGTTGTTTGTAATGTAGCTTGGAGTTGAAACTGTCCCGGTCTTTGTTGGCCCAGACAACTACTTATTGTTCTCAAAACCTGCAAAGGGTGTGTCGATAAAACCTTTGATCTTCTGTCTCTTCTTGATAAAATCCTTCCAATTTACAAGTATGCTTCTTTTTCCTAATCATTTTCATGTTCTTTACAATAAAGTAGAATCCCAGTTTCATTACAACAAGAATTACCCCTGCAGGGAAGTGATTGTTAAGTTAAAGGAAGCAGGTGCTACATGGATCCAGGTTGACGAGGCTACCCTTGTGAAGGATCTTGAGGGGTACCAATTAGAAGCTTTCACCAAGGCCTACTCTGAGCTAGAATCAGCCTGCTCTGGTCTTAATGTTATTGTTGCCACCTACTTTGCTGAAGCATTCAAAACCCTAACTTCATTGCCTGGAGTTGTTGGTTTCACTTTTGATGCTGACACCTGCATTCTCAGGCCGCTGCTTTGAGAGGCTCAGACCACCGTCGTGTCACCAATGTCAGTGCCAGGCTGGATGCCCAACAGAAATTACTCAAAATTACATGAAAATTAAGTGATGCTGATGGTTTAGCACCAGTAAGATATAATCTAAATTCTAAATTATCTATTTCTTTTATCATCTGGGATTTCGTTTCTTTCTTATGTATTTTTTTCTTCTAAATGTGTAGTTTTGGTATGCTGATGTCAGATTTTATCGTATCAAGGATTTATCAGGCAAACCCATTTCCAATTTTTACTTTGACCCATACTCTCGCCCAGCTGAGAAAAGAGGTGGTGCATGGATGAATGAAGTTGTTGCAAGAAGTCGTGTACTATCAGATGACAAAAACTCTGTTAGGTTACCAATTGCCCATATGGTTTGCAACCAAATGCCACCTGTTGGAGACAAGCCAAGCCTTATGACATTTCGTGAGATACATCCATCCATTCATACATGCATACTACATAGCAAAATGAGATGATGAAAATATGATGTAATGTAATGTGTGCAAACTTGTGTTGTTTATATGTTGGTTGAAAGCTCTTAGTTAATCCAATTTTTTTAAAAAGTAATCCATTTGAGTTTGGGCATATATTCTTGGTTATTAATTTAGGTGGAGACCACTCTTGTACGCGCATGGGCGATATGAGGAGGTACGCTGTTATATTATTACCTTTGGTTTTCTTGTATATACCTTACCTTTTGAGGTGGTTGGATTCCTCAGGAATCGGAATTGAATTCCATTTGATTCACAAAATCCTACCAGTGATTCCATAAATTCTTTTTATTTCAATTCCAATTTCTACAAATATACAAGCATACGCAATCTAAGACCCATTATTAACGTTATAGTGTTGGGCTTAACAGATTGCGTCATTGGGCTGTTAGTTTCGGTCCATTTTGTAAACGGTTTTGGGCCTGTCCAGCCGTCATTAATTAGGGTTATAGTATAAATAGTGCATGCATGCACCATAATAAACAAGTCATTATGATCATTATTGTAACCCTACCACACCTCTACAGCAGCAATTCTTTATAGATTTCTTCTGAGGTTGTGGCTTTTTAATCATTCGAAATCAGTTTGATTCATCTCGTGTTCTTGTCTAATTTGTGTTCTTGATTTGTTTGTTAAGAGTCTAATCGATCTTAAAATATTTTTAGTCTTATCAATTGGTATCAGAGCAGGAGGCTGTGTAAATCATACGCATCTCTTCTGTTTGAAGAAATCTTTAGGGTTTTTGCTATTATCGAATCTGTTGGAGCCGTCATTACCTTGTTGACACTACTCCTTGATCTCGATTTTACCCTAACACGATCTTTACAAGTCTGATTCTTGACAGGTAAGCAAACCAGGTCATCATGTCGCACGACGATTCTGAAACCAATCCCATCAACATCTCGAACAGCATTGGATCAACCACGAGGATTCCGATTCTATATCCTCACGAATATGAAGTTTGGGCTCTTCACTTTGAAGACTATTGTTGGGTCAAAATATTGGTTTATACTTTGCTTTTCTAGTTGATTGTATTTTTCTGTAATGTTTTATGAGTTTACGGTCAGGTTTACGGCCAGGTGGGTGTTTACGACCGTAAACAGGTTTACGGCCGTAAACCCTGTTTACGGCCAATGTTTCTCATGTATATATAGGGGTGAGGGGTGTGAGGTATGGAATAATAGAGGAATAGAGAGAGATAGAGAGAGAGAGAGAGAGAGAGAGAGAGAGAGAGAGAGAGAGAGAGAGGAGCTTATGTGTGTGTATTCTAAGGTGTTTTCTAGAGAGAGAAAGTGAATCTTGTGTAAGGAACTTCAATCATATCATCAATACATTCAAGATTCAAGTTATTCTTCTCCTCATTCTCTTAATTTTTGATCTGACATCATCCAATTGAATGGGATTCCGCACCATCAATTGGATCTGATTGATACACAAGCATTTTGGGGACTTACAATTGGTATTAGAGCTTGGATTGTATCAGTCAATTTTGTCAGATCTGGAGCTTATTTGATCTTATTTTGGAAGGATTTCTGCGTTTTTTAGATAGATTTTGGCAAAATAAGGGGGGTTTGTTCTTCGTGTTTTTCATAAAAACGAGTTTTTGATCGAGTTTTGGAGCAAAAAGGGGCAAAAATCGCTGTTTTTGGTCGTAACCAGCGAGGGGGTGGCGGCGTGTACGGCCAGCAGCTAGGGTTTCCGAGGAGTTTACGGCCGGAGCTTGCGGTCCGAGATTACGGCCCTCGGAGTTTACGGCTCGCATGTGTACGGTCAGCGTTTACGGCTCGCACGTGTACGACCGGAGTTTGCGGTCCTCGGTTTGCGGCCAGCACCTCGCACCTCGCACGCCTTCTTGTTCAGCAGCCTCGGTCTCGCGCCTCGCACCTCGCCTTCGCACGTTCAGGAAGCTTCGCAGCAGTCATCCTCGCACGCAGCATCAGCAAAAATCGTAATTGATTTTGGGGTTGCCAAGAATCGAACCCGGATCACCCACCTCCTTTCCCTGCGCCTTACCAGTTGATCTACCAAGCCTCTTGTTCCATTCCTTCCGATTTTAATTCAAAAACACTCCTTTTCGCATCTATTTTCGCAAAATTGTCAATTTCAGCCCAAATATTCAAAATCTTTTATTTTAAAATTCCATTTTCAACCAAAAATTTTAGTTTTTAAATTTTGACTTTTATTTTTGACTTTTTACTTTTAAAATTTGACCATTGACTTTAAACTTTGACTTTCTTATTTAACTTTTAAAATTTCAAATTTAGCTTTTAAGTTTGACTTTTCAAGTTTGACTTTTGAGTTTGACTTTTTAAATTTGACTTTTTAAATTTGACTTTTAAGGTTGACTTTTGAGGTTTGTAGTCAAAGGGTTTGACTTTTAAGTTTGATTTTGGCTTCTAGTTGTGCTTTTAATGGTTTTTGAGGTCTACGAGGGAATTGAAGACATGAAAGAGAGTCGTCAGGATATGTTAAGACAAAAGTTCAACATGTTCAATTATATCCCTGGAGAAACCCTGGAAGCTCAGTTGCAGCGATTTACTACACTTACTACTGAGATGAATATAGCTGGGATCTTCTTGACTAAATCTGAGATAAACAACAAGCTGCTGAATGCACTTCTGAAGTCGTGGGATATGAACGTGGCTGTCATCAAAAAGACAAAAGATCTCAATCGTCTTAGTCTTGCTGCTGTAACTGAAGAACTTGACGCTTTGAATTGTCGAAAAACTATGAGTTCCGCAAACATCCCGACCAATGAAGTTTCATGTACTCCATCTTGTGAAGATACGATTAAGATTCTTCGTGAACATAATGATTTGCTAAAAAGGGAAGTCGAGGACCTAAAATACAAAGGATATCAACTTAGGAAAGGACAAAAACCCCTGAAGGCTGAATTAGAAGCAAAAATCAAAGACTTTAGGAAGCTTCAGGAAGACTATAGCAACAAATGTGAAAATTATGACTATGTTAAGAGACAACATGCTGAATTAACTGCTGAGCTTGACACATTAAAAAGCAAATTTGAAATTGCAGATTTTGATTTTCAAAAATTTGATGTGTCAAGCGAAGTAGTTGCAAACATGATAGACCATTGTCTGCCATTTAAAAATAACCAGCAAAAAGGTCTAGGGTATGATAGTGTTCCTCCACCTTTTAATCATAACTACACATCCATCCCTATGACACAGGAAGAAATTGACAGGGAGGCACATCTTCAATATGGCAAACCAGCTGGATTTTTGTCAGGAGGTATTCAGGTTGAAAATACTAATGCTTCTACTTCATGTGCAGGTAAAGTAGCAGAGGAATAAAACAAGGAGAAAACCATTGAAAAAACAACATCTCCTTGAGACCTGAATCTGTTGCTTCGAACTCAGTTGCTTCTGATCAACCTGCTGTTGAGAAATACAGGCCACCAATTCCAGTGAAACAGAGTGTCTATTGTAATTGTGCTTGTGGGAACAATAAGAGACAAGGCAAGGATACGCCACCAGGGGCAGGAAGAAACAACTTCACAGTGAAGAAAAAGACTTGTTTTCACTGTGGAACACCTGGTCACATTGCCCGAAACTGTCCAAATCGCGCATACGTTCCCTACTACGCACAAGGATGGGAAAACGCGCCAAGAGGGAGATACTCCAAAAGAAACCCCTCAAGGTCACGTTCAGAAAATGGTGACTGGAACGCGCAGAAGGCCAAGAATCAAACCTACAAGGCCAAGAATCTGAATCCCAAGGGAAAGAAGGGAATGCCGGCCAAGAAGCCAAATCCAAGATATGCTCCCGTGAAGCCAAAATCAAAGTCATCTCAACGGCCGACATTAAGTTCAAAATCAAGTGCTGAGCCACCCATCAGACCGAAAAAGAAATGGGTTAAACCCAACTACAAATGGGTTCCAAAGGCTCACTCTCCCAAATCTTCTAACGATTCTAATATTTCTTCATCTTCTGTTTGTGATAAACAGGATATGTCATGGGAGAGAGTACCCTGCAATCATGACAAAGGTCGACCCAGTTTCAAAATGGAATGGGTTCCAAAGACCAATTGATCCCGCTCTGTGTCGGAGCAGCTGTGGAGGCATATCAGCAGACTTCGGTTTGTTGGTAGTGGCTGTTCCAAGCACATGATAGGGGGCATCTCTCAACTGTACAACACTCAGAACATTGTTTGAGAGTATGTGTCCTTTGCGGGAAAGGAGGAAAGGAAGAGATCACAAATGGGGTTAGTCCTTAATGACATGAAGAATTTTCGGATCTGTTCTGAGATTATGCGTGCTGTTCTCAGACCTTCTGGATGCAAATTCAATCGGTGACTTACGGTTTGAGTTTTCTTCTCTATACTCCTGAGTTTATCTTAATCTGATTCGTTTTAAAGACAATCTTTTATAGTTTTTCTTTAGTAGGTGTCTGTTGGGAAGTGATATCAAGAATGTGATAATGGGCAGTCTAAAACATGTGTAAAGGACTGAATCTGAATTGTCTAGACTCTATGT